CAGCTACATTTATATTGTGCTTTGCTACAAAGTCTCTGGGTTACTGGTTTGAAGATGTTACTGAAGTAAATTCGCTTTCCGATACTAGCAATTGTTCTACCACGGATAATTTTAACACTTTTGATGCGACCAGTGAAGCGTCAGATGAAAACGCAATGATAGCTGACGTTCTCGTCGAAGCAACCAGAAATAATACAAATATATCACATTTAAAGACGTCTATAATAACTGCAGATTGGAACGAATGGTTTCCGAAACTTAAATTTCCAAACACTAATTTGGATAAACAATATAAAATGGCGAATTTACATTTGGATAGAGGAATATTCATTTTCGACTTTCTACGAGAATTTTTATCTCTTATTCAGCCCTACGATGTACCCATTGGTAAAGTACTTCTGAAAATTGTCAATATTCTGTAAATAGTTATTATTTATAATAATATAATTTTTACCGCTTATAGACTTATTAACAGATACGATTGAAAATCGAATAGATACATCGAGATTAATATCCGAGGTGGGATATGATTCTTTTTATATTTGAGTATTATTACATTGTATGTTTCAAAATACAGTTAAGTGCGAAACTAAACACACACTATTTAAAGTCAAATATTTTTTTTAAATCAGATCAGCGATCTGAATGTTTTTAGTAATTGGGTGGATTAGTGTACTAAATGATGCGTACAAAAAATTGCGAAAAAATAAAAATTGATAGAAATCATAACGAAATATATGCAGGTCACTTTTAATGACTTAAACAATACACTGTGATTATTTATAAATTAATGTTACTTCTGCTTTATATGAGTTAAATCTGAATTGTTATTCTTAATTATTATAGACGATACATCTGGAAGCAACTCTATTAGTAGTAGTTTCTATGTGTTTCATTTTATGCTTTGTAATACCTGCAATAGAGCTTTGGCTCGGGTGTCGTCCAATAAGGGAGGATTATCAACCTACCCAACATCCTAGGGCACTTACGTTTTTCCTCGCAATTTTCATCTGCGCTCTTGGGTATGATTTAATATATTACATAAATCTTTATTTCAGCCACATAAGATCTAGAAATGGACTTGGTTTATGAACTTATCCCCACTCATCCTACCACATCCTAATCCTGTACACGTTCATAGATCTGTGTGCTAACATTAACTTATTATAAATAAACTATGCATCATACGAAGAAATAAGAACAAAACATAAACAACAAACTAACATACATTTAATCCCATAAACAATATAAAAAAATGATAATGAACAACCCTTTCATCACTAGTTTCCATCCAGTCTCTTTTACCTTTCCTCGGATATGAATTAGTTCACATTTTTTATCCGTTTTCGTTGATTTCCAAGTGAATGATTTCCGTTAAAGTTTTACATGTATTATCCTGTTCTACTTTATAAATTTACTTCTAATTCATTTTCAGAGTGGGTATGATCACAATGATTGTATGTAACGAAGCAGTATCTACAAGCGTGGAGAAACTTCCCGTAGTAGTTGAAGCTGCCTTGCAGGACCTAAATGACTACCATACCAGTACAACAATTCAACTACGCAAGTACCTCTCCAGGAGCTTGGATGTAGCTAGCGAAGCAATTCTTGCAGATTTAGACAGTCAGTAAAATATTACCGTTCAGTCTATTTTATTAATATAGATTTTGTTCATCTTGCTTATTTAATACAGATTTCTAGCGATAATTTCGCATTATCATTTTATGATTAACTTTATGTTTGCTACAGACATAGAAGAGTTGTTAGGGAAACCAGTGCAGGTAGAATTAGCCAGCGAATCTGGGGTGGATGTTGCGTTAGACACGCTCGTAGATCTCGTAAATGGTAAGAGATTTGAGATTTACGATGAGCGTATTGTGTCATTTATCATGACGATATCACTGAATTTCAGCTAGTCATGAAGTTTCAAATAGTGTTGGATCTCTGTTAAACGATGGCGAAAACATTCGTAATGTTGGAAAGCAATTAAGTCGAGAAATGGACAATTTACGTCGAAATTTGGAAAGTGGATTAAACGCTTGTACTGGCCAAGATCGATCTCTTTGCAATCTTATCGATTCTTCTGGATTACGAGTAACTTTACGAATGGACCAGGTAAATACGAAATTACATTATTAAAATTTCATTTTTTTTATATGAACTTTACACATTCAGCAGGAAAATAAATAATTTTTATATTATTGTATTTTATTATTATTAGGATCATCAGATAAAATATAGTCAACGTTCTTTTGCAAAGAAATGTAATATCCTTCCTCCTGTCTTTCTGTTTTACAGTTTATCAGCGACGATCGTTTAAGTCGTTTAGTTGACTTTAAACAGCAGAATTTCACAGAAACCATTCGTCAAGCTCGAGGAGAGTATTTGTATATACCGCAACATGTTACAAGAAGTAGTTTAGAAGTCCGAAATCGTAAGTGGATTTAACATTCAAAAGCTGTCACCTATAACATGAATTATAAAATGCCACAATTAACAGTAAAATAAAATAAAAGCAGACAATAATCATTTTCACTTTAATAAAGAGAGAGCATTATAACTGATTTATAATTATATATAACAAAAAACTATTTTACATAGAAATTCGACGTGAAGTAAATAAAATGCGGGCCCGAATTTTTGACGAATCACGAAACATAGAGGCAAGCAACTCCGAATTAATTAAGCAAATAGATTTTGCCAGGAGTCTAATGGATTATGCAACACCGCACATAAGTTTCTTTGAACATGTTAGATGGCTCATAGGCATCGGTAAGTTACAGGAATGTTCAAAAATCATAGTATATTAATTAAAATTCTAAGTGTAATAACAATACATTGATTCATTTAACAATTCATTAAAATTTGAAAATTATAATTTCATTCACAAACATGATATTAATTGAATAACTGAAAATGATAATTAATTTAAGAATTACTTATAGAGTTATGTACTAAAATCTTATTTTTATTTATGTTTTATGTAGGTACCGTTCTATGTATTCTACTTATTTGGCTACTATTATTTGGAGCTATTAGTTGTCGTTGTGGTACTTGTGATGATAAAGTGCGGCGTACACTCTTATGGTGTGTATATAATTTCATGAAATCTTGCTAATTGCATGAATATATCTTATTGTTGGAGCATATACTACTGGAGGCAGCTTCTATATGTATCAAAAAAATGTATATATATATGTACATAGTTCTTAAAATACATGTGCAATACATACGTATCTAATTCCAAATGAAAAGAAAATGGAAAACTCATATTTAGTTTTTATTGTGTTAATGAGACATTAATAGTAGAGGTATTTGCGACAATCCGAGAGTATCAGATGTGGTCGGATCGAGCATTCATCTCCTGGTCGGGTCAAGTTCCCAAAAATATGTCATGATACAGGATTGTCGGTATTCCTGAAAATGTCGAGATTCCCCGCAACATCAGATTATTGCAAGCTTTCGAGATTCCGACCCGAACTCGAATAAAATTTCTGACCCGGCTCGAACCCTAATCACATCTAGAATCGCACATCTCTAATTATTATTAGAGATTCGAGTTTAAAATGATGTAAAATACATTTTGTTACTATTGAATTTCAGTGGAGCATTTATGACCTGCTTCATCTCAGTTGTACTATGGACAGTTTTTATCATGGCATTAGCGTTATCTAGTCATACCGAAATGTTAATTTGCCGGCCGCTTCACGATCCAAATTACAGTACGATAGAAGCTATCTTGGAAACACGAATGTTCTTAGGAAAAAAATTGAGCGTACATCTAAGAGATATGTTTGAGTAAGTTAATTCATCTATAGTCATCATCTATATCAGTCATGAACGTTCGTTTTCGAAAATGAAAGTGTTTGGAGCAAATATTGATTTCAGAAGAAATTAGTTTTTTATGTAAATATAAGTTTTATTGCAAATGATATTTTTAACGCGTTGAAATACTTGAGTAATACAAGAAATTTCCAGAAAATGTCGACTGAATGAACCAGCTTATCCTGCATTCGGATTGGGAAACGCAATAAAATTAGAACAACTTACCTCATATTGGACTTGGTCTAATTTCAATAGGATTGTATTAAAACTTAAAGTCGAACTGAAGAATTTAAAAATATTTACACCGTATTTGCAAAAGCAATTACACAATGTACTATACGCTTGCGGTTTAAATTTGACAGAGCACAGAGTTATGGTACTGTAAAATGTTTTATTCTATTTTTTAATTTTATTCACAAAAAGAAATTCCATACATCACAGTTTTCTGATATGCACTTATTAAAACATAAATTTTACTTCTTACATCAAATAATTGTTTTGTTATTAGATTCAAGGACGAATTTTGAGTAAAGATTTGGAAGCTCTTTCAGATCAATTAGATAAAGTTACTCGACAAATGACTGATAGAATGACAGCCAGAAGCTTAGAAACTGTTGTAGAAATTATGCAAGATCTAAATGTAAAGCGAATAAAACCTTTAATGAAACTACAGGACATGTTGCTTTATAAACTTGCTGCACTGGAATTGCAAGTGCAACCGCTACAAAGACAAGTTAATCAATCTCTTTCTCACTTGAAGACTATACAATATTATATTGATAACCAAGGCGATAAAATTGCTCAGTTGGTGTGTATTTTCTTTTTAATTATTATTTTACACTTCGATAATTATGAAATTATAATACTGAACACACATTTTTTATCTCTAACAATACATTTATTTGAATAATATTTTTTATATCATTTCTAATATGCATATGTAATGTAAATAATAATATATTTATTTTATATTATTTTGTACAACTTAAATTATAATCATTTCTTATACGCAGAAAACCAAAGTTTATGTAGATCGATTAAGTAATTACTTAGATCAATGGAGATCTCACATATTATCTGAAATGGGAAGTGGGGTAACCAAATGCCGACCACTATGGGATGTCTTAGAAGGAATTAAAATTTTATTGTGTAATCATTTTCTAGGTAATTTGGTACGTATAACGCTACAAGTGTGCAAGATTTTATAGAAATGTTAAACAATATTATGTATTTTATTTCTTTCACAGAGTGGATATTGGTTTGCTACATTTTTGTGCTGTGTTATTCTGATAATTTGCACTCCAACTGCTCACATTTTGTCTCTAGTATATAAAAAATCATCGAATATTGCAAAAGATGCTAGTCTTTTACCTGTGAGATCGTAAGCGAACAATTTTCCCCTCTTTTTAATGTGCGTTAGATATTATATGCGATTATTCCTTTTCTTATTTCAGGGAAAATCCTCCAAGTGAAGTAAACGAGGGAGAATCTTGGCATACACCCGAGTAAGTATAATAATACATAAAATGTTAGTCTACTAGTGAGAACAATTTTAATAAACAATTCTGGTTATCAAAATAAGGCAAAAATCAAGAATAAAAAAATTAACATTCAGCTTCTATCTGTTAGTTCACAGGGAGCACAAATTACTTTTGAAACTATATTTGTAGTGGTACAACATAGGCAAACTCGATTACCTCCTATGGTTTTCTGAATTTTAACATATTTCCTAGCGATTATCGTTGTATTGGACACGTCGCATTTTAGGGCTCACCGCTGATTCAGAAATCGTCACGCGTGCAGGTAGTAGTCTCGAAGTACAACGTGCCCGATACAACGATAACAGCTAAGAGATATAGTAGTACTACTTATTGTTAGATATACATACGTTATATCTGAGCGTGAGAACCGGTGCCGGCAAGGGTAATTTTTTATTGCTTATAACTAAAAAATGGAGCCTTGAACGCAATATTTGATTCTTGATTTTGTCTTATTTTGGTTTCCAGTATCATTCCTTATAATTTTTCCCATCTGTAGCCAAACACCCAGTATAAACAATAGCAATCACTGTCCACAGGGATAATTTTTAAATTCTTATAATTAAACTTGAACTTTAAACGAAATATTGTATGGATTTCATGGATTTGGTCCTTTAAAAACCTTGCTCAAAATTTTCCTCATGGATAGCACACGATATAAACTCAAGATCTATAAAATACCTCTCAATGAAACTAAACCTAATAATTAATACCTAACAGGGATCCAAAAAACTTGGGCCAAATATTTATTTTTCCATATATGTCCATACATATTATTACCGCAGTTATTACGACGTAATGTATACATAAATAATTATTATTTTCAGACCACCACCACCACCATCCCAGGAGGAGGGATGGCAATAAGGTCTAGAAATTCACACTCATACAGATTTTATACCTCAACGAAATATTGTGTTCTTATTCTTTATTGCAAATACTAGTCTTAATAAATAAATACATAGTAGTTTTAATGCTTAATAATTATAATACATGATAACAATATGTGTTCAAGATTAATCTGTTTTTATTAATTTTAATAATAAAATTATTATTTCTCTATTCGAGCGTTTCTTGAATTTATTTTATTAGAATAAGCATCGAAAACACAAGACATAGACTCATTACTCATTTTGAATTTTGCCTTCCTAAAGGAAACTTCGGCCAGTGATGTAAGATTTGCGGAATTTCGATCGCCGCGCGTACGGTGAGGAAA